GCGGGAGGTTACTGCAGACGCAAGCGCTCTAGAAGCAAATTTTGCGGCGTCTAGTGACGCATCTGCAGAATATTCCGCAGCCGCAATCAATCTGGCCATATCCTGATGAAGACGGTTGTCCTGAGGTGGAACTCTGTCCTTCAGTTGTCTTAGCCACACTAGTGAAGCTCGATTAAAAAAGGACGCTGAAGTAGCTGCCCTAATCGCCCAGGCTGCTGCTTGGTGGGTTTTTTTAAAAGTTAATTCTGCTCGCCTATCTTCCTGCTTTAAACCTTCTCCCGCGTCTCCAACTAATATGGATGGTGAAATGAGACTGGCTACAGGTTCATCTACTGATGGTACTTGTAGTAGAGCATCAAATTCAGGGGATGCACAATAGAGCTTCTTGTCAAAATTATTAGGAGCTGACAGAGCTCCTGGTCGTTCCCATGGTTTTTGAACTACTTGAGCAAATAAATCAGGACATGGAACGAAGTCACAGTCAGTAGTTGGCATTGGAAAAATGTTACTATTGGACTCAGTTGTATTGCTAGCAAATGTAGACTGGTTTGAACCCTTTTCCATATTGGTAGCCACCTTCGCCTTGCGAAGTAGCGATTTAAACAAAGCAGGGTTAAATAGGCCTTGAAAGGCTGGCTTATCTGGAACCTCTCCTTCATCATCGGACAATTCAAAATCCTCCAGGTAATCTTCCCCTGGATCCACTAACTCTGCAGGTCTGAAATCCTGAACTGAATGCTGATGGCTAACCTTGGATGCATTACTTTGTCCAGCGGATACAGCCACCGGATCCATATGTGCTACAGGAAAGCCTGAATGTTGTAACCCCGCCTGGAAAATTCTATTGAAAGTTTGAGCCAGAAAGGCCTGGAATTCCATGGGCTGACCAGACAAGGAATTTTCTTCCATTCTAAGTCCAGCTGCAGTCGGTGTAAAAGTGGCCTCTGTGACCCTCTGGGGCACTCTAGTAATAAATGGAGCTGATTGAACATTATCTTGTGCTATAAAACAACCCGAATTTTGTGGTATAGCTTGACCCATGGTATCTGGAATTTCAGGTTTCTGAGAATGGGAACCAGAATCCAGAGTGTTGGTCTGTTGAACTGGGTCCAATTTAGACTGAATTACCATTAAATCATCTTCCCCACTTAGTATAACTGCTTGCGCCGAGCGCTTAGCTTTATCAAATTGCCTTTCCAGTGCATTATGCCTGCGCTGATCCTGTTTAGTCATCTTTAAAGTTCCATCTGACTGACCAAATTCTGAAGGAGGAACATGTACAGCAGCCTTGGTCTTAACTTTTTTTGATCTCAGTGTCTTAGGAGAGGGAGCCCTAGGAGGAGATGGACTATGATCAAAATCTGAGGATAATCCCTCCTCTGCCATAGCCTTTTGTCCCAAACCTTTCTTAAAATGAATAAACAAATAAAGGTAAATTAATACTTTCCTGTAATAGATGAAAAGTAGTAAATCGTGAAAAAAGCAGGAGGTAGGACCCAGGCCAAACACTGGTGCAGTCCGTGTTTTCTTTTCCACCAGCCTCTATCCTTGACAGAGAGCGTGGTGGGACAAACGGCCAGCAACCGCTCCCATCTAGTGGCGGTTGGGCGCTGTAACGGCAGTTAAAATTGTAGGAGCTGTCAATCTTCGTCAGAAGATCGCCCCTCACGCCGTCCCAAATGCCAATAACAAAGCTTCTTTGTTTATTGCGCTCCGATCTCCGCTGTAGCAATCAGCTCCGTAAAAAGCAACCCCCTGCTGATAAGAGTTTGCCGGCAAGGCAGGAACTCAAAAGCCGCCAATTCCAGGTGGAAAGACAGAGAGGCTACTTGAGTGAGGGCGGTTCTGCCGGCGTGCCGGTTAACCATCTCCTCGCTCGCGGCAACTGACAGTTGAGGCAAAGGTTCTGCCTTTCCTCAAGCGCTGACAATCTTTTAAAATGAACTGCGGCAGGCGCCCCAGCCGGGAAACGCCTGGCCGCTCTTAGCGCTGATGATAAGGAAACAATGTAGCCCTCTGCAAACTAAGTATCCACCTTCAAACTATCCAATTTTGACCTAGTTAAGTCATTAAAAACCTAGAGAAAAGGCACTCCAATCTGATCACTATCGACTGAGTGAAAAGACTGGACATGCGCAGTTGGAGTAGGCGGGACAAAGCTGTGGAGGAAGATTTGATTGGCACCCAGTCGATCTAATGACGGTGAAAGAAACCCATATAGTGGAGTGGCGGAGTATCGAGGAGGAAAATGCTGTTACCTTCCCACCAAGAGTGATCACTATTTTTCTACTTGCATTTTTTACACGCTTTCGAACTGCTAGGTTGGCAGAAGCTGGGGCAAGTAACGGGAGCTCATCCCATTACACGGCACTAGGGATTCAAACCGCTGAAATGCCGACCTTTCAATCGACAAGCTCAGCGTGTTAGCCACTGAGCCACCGCGTCCCTTATTCCACTAATAGTGACATTGAATTTTGTTTAGTGCTGAACAGTTCTTAGAATTCCTCCAACTATAACTCGATTGATAAGGAGCTGCCCCAAGTAAAAATACTGGGGAGGGGAAGCTTATAATGTTGATGCCATCTCGTATTAAAGATGCAGTAACAAGTGTTTCTAAGCTTGCTTGAGTGTTTCTCACCTGTTAAGTCAATAAGATGAATTTGTTTTAATGGGACCATGGAAACAGGACACCACCTATACCAGACTCCCTGGGCAACTGCAAGCCTACCTGCTGATTATTAAAAGCACCATCTGTTGTTTTCAGTTTCCCAGATAGCAAAAGCCAGGTTAACCTTACAAGTGCAACCACGGAGAGAGAAGATTGTCATGTTTTCTCATGATCGTGCTCAAAGAACATCGAGTTCTCCAAGAGGGAAATAAATTTGCAGGGCAGCCAGAAATGAGAACACAAAATCCCATTGTTTGGGGGGAGAAATAAAACAAGCCATTTACAAGAGGAACGTTTTCAAAGAGCGGCCCTTCCAGATTGCAAAAGATGCCACAATGATTAACTTGAAGCAGAGGAGATGCTTATTTCGTGGAATGCAGACAACCACAAAACAAAAGCTATTAACACGGTAGCCAGTCAATACCATAGATTCTTTACTCGTCCTTGCTGTTAAACTGGGAACAGGAGGTCTTTTTTCCTCTCCGCTTCCTGCCCTGAAGGGAAGACAGGCTTCCTTTTAGTATAACAATCCATACCAAAACAAGTCATTCACTCAAGTTGTGTAATTACAACACCTGCATTTCTACACACTTAAGAGCGTTAGAACTTCCACTCTACAGAAATTAGAATTGTCTCAGACAGATAAGGCAACCACTTAGGAAGGAAGAATTCCTGTGGAGCAGCTTTTGATTCCTTCTGGGGATCAGCTGAATTTTAAGGACATCCAATCTTCATTTGGCCTTTGCTTCCAGATTCACAACTCGCGACCCTTTTCTATATACATTCCAGACTCCAGGTTTCCAAAAGAAACCTTTGCGTGCCCCCTCAATTTTCCTTCAAAGTCTCTACATCCAATTTCCATAAAGCCCTCCATGCATCAAACCCCACTACGTCAAAAAAAAAAGCCCATCTTCTGAGTAAACCCACAATCCGCATCCCCTTCATAGGACATGGGCAGCTATCACTTATAGGCAGAAGGGAACTTCTCAAAAGCTGAAGGCAAAGTCCCGAATGAGGAATCCTTGGTGCTCAAATCAAATCTTTACTGTCAATGCACAACATGCGTACAATGAGATTGAATGAGCCTCCCTTGGTGCAGGCTCCCCCCAAACACAGAATACATTCAATAACTCAAAATAAACTCATAAGAAAAGAAAATCCCTAAACCCAAATAAGTAATAACACACATTCCCATATATATATATATACACACACACATTCTGTGCTCTCTGGACTTGCTTGTTTTCTTGTGGACATTTCATTACCCAAAACCCATCAACACTGAGCTACAAATATTCTCCTTTTATTAATAAAGTCCAGAATCTCTTTCCTTAATAGTTCCTCCACCGGATTTAAGAAGCCCTAAGGAACCTCATGTGATCTCCCCCACACCCATTATAATGCAGCCTCAATTGAGAGAATAACTCTGACCCTCCACGAACCACTTTTCCTTAGAATCCATCCTCCTTCAAGCAGCTGGAGGTTACCAAAGGTCATCTTTCCGAGCCCAAAGTGGCCTTTGGGGGGGAGGGGGGGGCAATCTTCAACCCTGCAGGCAACTTCCAACCTGAAAGCCTCTCTTTTATTCTAACTCCGGCATTGGAAAACAAAAGCAGCCCCTCACTCAAAAAAAGGAGGCGGCTCGGTTTAACAGAGACACCCCCCCTCCCCATTCTGTCCTTTCCACCCAGCGGAATCCAAGCCGGTCAAGACAAAGCCGAGAGACCGGAGGAGGACCCCAAATTCACTATATACCATCACCCTCTCTTTGTTTGGGGAGAAAAACAAATATGGTTTAAAAGGGTGGGGGGGGGCAACGTTGAACCGCCCCGATCCGTCTTCCAGCGACATCGCATTTCACCCTGTATTTCCATCTGCTGGGCAATACGAAGGAGTTAGGTGGGATTTTTGGAGGGAGGGTCGATTAATCTTTAATTTTTTTGGGGGGGGGTCGCTCCAGCAAGGCCACCCCGTTTAGAAAAAGCTGCTATGCCAGCCATCCCGGAGTTTTAAGCCAATTGGGGCTTAAAAGGGGGGGGGGAGACTTGAAGATAAGAGGCCCGGGACGGAGCAACCGAGATGACGCGTGTTTGCACCCAGCCGGCGTTCACACGTTAGGAGGACCCGGGAGAGGCGTGCAACCCCAGTTAGTATCACCTCCATCCTCTCTCCACCCCCTTTTCCGCTTCCCGGGCTGGAATTCCCGTAGAAGGCATTGCAAAGCGGCGCCTCCGCCCCACCGGACCTCGGTTTGCGACCCCGACCCAGACCCCCCCCCCCCCCCCCCGGGCCGTTAAGAGCCACGCGGACGCCGCCCCCCCCCCCCACACACCTTGGTTGACCAGTCGCAGCGCGTGGGTGAAGGAAGGATCCAGGGAGTCCTTCTCCGCCATCAGCTCGGGCAGGTACTTTTCCTCCATGGCCCGCCCGCCTGCCCTGCTGGGGGCGACCACCGGACTACTCGCTTCGACACGCCGGGAAGGGAAGAAAGCCCAAGCAGGACGGCTGCGTCCACAGACGGTAAATCCTCCTTGGGGCGAGGAGCCGAGTTCCTTTCCCGGACAAAAAAAAAAAACACAAGCGCTCGTTGTCCCCGAGGCCACGGATCCAAAGGAGCGACGCCTCCAGCGACACCACAATATCGGCCCCTCCGGCGGCAAACCGCGACTGAGCGTGCCAACGGCGGAACTCGCCTTATATAGTCGGCTCCGCGGCCACGCCCATTCCCTCCTCGCGAGGCCACGCCGCGCCCCCCCTCGCTCCCTCCCAACGCCCGGCAAGGAAAGGCCGAGCCGTTCCCTTCCGCCCGCCTCCCTTTGTTTGCCATTGGGTACGGAAGAGCGTTGTGACGCCAGGAGGCATAGCTCCCCCCCACACACACACACACCCCACCCCCAGTGAGATTGGCAGCTTTTCTCCCCGCCTTCCTATTCGCGAATGTTAAAGGTGAGGGGGGTAGGTCTCACGGCCCCGCCCCGCTCGCCGGAGAGCAGCGCGCCAAAAAAGCTAGCGCGCGCCCCGAAGAAGCCGTTAGGGGGCGCGTGGCCGGCGGACGGGCGCGCGCTGAACGGTTTGGACGCCGTGGCGGCACCTGCGGGGCGTTCAAACACCCGTCGGGAGCGCGCCTGGTTGGTGATCCTACAAAACCCGTCAGACAAGAATAAATAATAAAAATAAAAAAGATTACAGAACGATATCCCATTTCTGTCCCTAAGGGCTTCCTAGTATAGGAATGAGCTCTCCCAGAGTGGGGCTGTAAGTCTCCAAATGGCCGCTAGGGGGCAGCAATGCTGGGTTTTGTTTTTCTTTCTGCTGCCCCCTGGTGGATGCTTCAGGTTTTGCATGCCACACATGCTTTCCCCAATGATTTCAGCTGAATCCAGAGCTTTTGAATAACGATTCCTATAATTCCCAAGGTGGATTATGGGGGTTTAGGGCCATCTTTGGGAAGAAATTACTGAGGATCAGAAATATGAAAATTTCTTCTAGTGATTACAGAAGGAAGTGGAGGAGGACATTAAATACCTACCATGTCCTAATATTCTTTTTTACTTACTCTTTTCATGTATTCAATTATGTTTATACTTTTACCTGTTATCTTATATATGCTTGACAAATAAAACATGACTTATGACTTATAAAGGGAGAAAATTGAAATAAAGATATACAAATACAAGTTGTATCACATTTTTGGGAAGCAAGCATGCATTTTTTTTCTCTCTGAAAAGGAGAAGAAGTCGAAAGCTTTTTTTTCTCACAATTTATACCTATGGTGTCCATTTTTTCTTGGAAAAAATAAAGGAAAAAAACCTTAAAAAGAGGCAAATCTGAAAGAGGTCCATAAGTATAAAGGAAATGTTCAACCAGATATTTACACTGGATTTTATAAACCGAGTAGTAACAGTTGGTCTACTTCTATTTGTAGATTTTTGTATTTTGTGATTTTTTTCCAGGGTGTTTTTTTTGTTTGTTTGTTTTCTGCTGCTTCCAGGTGCAACCTCCACTTTCCAGATTCTTTCTCTTTCTCATCCACAATTGTTAAGTCTGGGGTGTTCTGTGGCAATTGTTTGTTTGAATTCTAAAGTCCTAGCACCAGTGGTGGGTTGCTCCCGGTTCGGACCAGTTCTATAGAACCAGTAGTAAAACCGGTGGGAGTCTCCGCCCACCGAACCCAACGTCATCTGGATGCTTCTGCGCATGAGCCTCGATGGTGCAGCGGACTAAGTGCTGTTAAGTGCTAGCATTTAGCTGCCAGCTGCCTGCAATTAGTGCGAGTTCAAATCTCACCAGGCTCAAGGTTGACTCAGCCTTCCATCCTTTCGAGGTAGGTAAATTGAGGACCCAGATTGTGGGGACAATAAGCCAGTTTTGTATAGAACAACACCGCTTGGGGGGGGCTGAAAGCCCTAATAAGCAGGTATATACATAAAAGTATGCAGGCTATTGCTATCATGCATTGTAAGCTGCCCTGAGTCTACGGAGAAGGGCGGCATATAAATTGGATTAATAAATAAATAGATAAATGTGCAGAAGAGTGTGCATGCACGAGTGAAGCGCACGGCCCCGTTGCGAACCAGTAGTAAAGGTAAGTAGAACCCACCCCTGCCTAACACATCTTAGCTTCTTCATTTTCTGACACTTCGTCTATTTTCTGATACTACCAGTTATTTCAAGTGGTATTTCTTGCAGATATGCCAACGCAGCATTGTTGCTACTATCATTGTTAGTAGTCGATCTGTGTAATCTTCTTGCAGCAGCTAACTAGGTGGCTTTCTGTTTATTATTTATGTATTACTATTCACTAATTAATAGTAAATACTATTTACTATTAATAAATTGATAGTTAATAGTAATCACTTATTACTATTGTTACATTATTTATGTTTATAATTTTAATAAGGGAAAATTCGAGAGCAAAACCAAGAAAATAAGTAATCAAGTAATTCTAAAGGCCAGCATTCTATGATAAATGCTGTATGGCCATTATAGGTTACAACCTAGTTGAATGTGTCACTTAGGAACAATATAGATACCCATTTTCTTGGCAGTTATCCTGAAACTGATTTGTGTGGCCTTCTTTCAGGATATTTGTCAATTTCCCAAACCATTCTGTAGCCCTAGATTGCTTAGTGGTCTCCCATCCAAGCACTAGTCAACTCTGATTAATGGGCCAAGATCAACTAAGATTTACTGGACGCTGCCAGATGCCTCCTCTCCATTGCATGAGATGTTTAGACAGTCCTGACTTGATTAATAAAAAAAGCTAAACCTCCATTTGTTGATGGGCTGTATGCTAAAATAAAGCCAGGTCATGACACACACTTGAAAGTAAATCAGGAAGCCTGTAATTGCGGAGTCTGTCTGGGAAAAACAAAGAATGTTTATCTACAGGAAATATTCATGTGTAAATCTTGTAACAATTCTGGATAGTTAGAAAACTGATAAAAGTAACAGCAGATAGACAACTTGCAGGCCTCAGCTAAAAATTAGGAATAGATGGCCTGCAGCCAATAAAATGTGTATTAGATAACTCCTGGGGCATTCATTAGCCAAGGCTTAGGAATAGGGACAGCTAGAGACCAATAGAACAAATTGTAGAATTATTACTAAAATGTTTATTAGATGATATTTCTTATTATCTTACATTGTTCCGTCTTCTCTTTTAGTGAAAATGTATAAAGCTTTTTTAATCCTTTTGGCCTCCTTGGAGTACTCCAATAAAAAGCAATCAGAAAACCTGCACCTCATGTCTAGCGTCCATCATTGGCTTCGGTACCAGGCTCAGACCCGAATTGGGGACAACAATCAATCAAGTTATATTCGTTTGTTATTTTAATGCCATACTTTTTTCAAATGTTCAGTTCCCGAAGTTGCTAACCTACATATTAAAACCTCCGTTCTGGGTCTGTGGGTATGATAAGTTTAATTGAACTGATCTGTAAACCAGTTAGTTAGGATAAACTACCTTTTTTCTCACTTGAGCAATTGGGCTGAACTCCAAAGAGATTTAGGGCAATGCAGCCACAAATTTATACATACAATGCTAAGGTATAATTCCTTGTCTTAATGTGTTGACTAAACAAAGTCCTTGAAGGGATTTCAATAGTCATTCTCAAAAAGATGGCAGTACCTAAATTTGCTTAATAAATAACTAAATAACTATTTTAGCTGGAAATGGCAGTAGAAGAAAATATCTGTAATTCAGGGCTGAACTGTGGAGGCCTTGGTGATCTCTGAGCTTGATTGTTTGCTTGCAGACATTTCATTACCCAACTAGGTAACATCATCAGGGCCAGTGAGTGCAGGTTTGATCCTTATTTATATACTTTGTTTGCCCTTCCAGTATTGGTGGGGATGAGTTTTTTTTCTCCTTAATAATCAATAATTAGGATATTGTCTTCTTTTGAATGGTGTTCAACTGTGCTTTATCTCTATGGGTGATTTGCAGCCGGAGAAAAAGAGGAAGGCCAAAGAAAACCAAAGAAAAGCTGGCGCCAAACATTTCAGGAAGATCTGAAAAACATCCATCTTAAGTGGAAGGATGCGAAGACTGTAGCTGCAGACCGAGAACTGGAGCGGAGTACGCTTTTGTGCTTGGCACTAGACATGATGAAGTTCCTTCGTTAAGTTATTGCTTTCTGCTTGGTGGTTTGTCTGGTGTTAATCCTTGCTGCCGGGAAAGAGGGGTTTTGATCTCGGTGTTTTCTTCTTGGCTTAGTTTTGTTTTTTTTTAAGAAAGAAAGAATTAACCTAAGGAAAGCTTGAAGCTAAGTTTAGCAAAGAAGGAGTCAAACTAAGTTAAGCTAAACTAAAAAGAAAATAAAAAGGCCAAAACAAATCCTCATAGGCAGCCCACTCCCAGATAAGCACCAATTAAAATGAAATGCAAAGCAATCATTAATAGGTACTTTGTAGCACCTAGTGATGCTCTGCATCCATAAAAATTGAGTTGAAGGTTATATGTTCATATATTTAGACTAAACTACGGCGATGCACACTCTAGAAGAGGCTGCCTTCAAAACCAGCCAGAAGCTTCAGTCGGTGCATATATTGCAAGGCCTATAGCTCAAAACTGGATTAATATGCCCACCAATGACACATCCTTCACTAGCTTCCTATCAGCTTCTGTGTCAAGCACAAGAAATCAGGAAATCCAGGAAGTTCAAATGAAAACAAAGATTTGTCGCAAGCTTAAATTCTCTACAATAATCGGAACTACTAACCATCAAAGCAAATTGGTGGTAGATAGGAGTCAATGGAAGCTGAACTTAAATCTCTTGTGGGCGCAAAGCAGGGATGAAATGCTACCACTTTGCTCCAGTTTGGGCGAACTGGTAGTGATAAAAACTACCGGTTTGGGCGAACCGGTAATAAAAAAAAAAGCTACCAGTTCAGGCGAACCCGTATTTCCAACTATCAGCTGTGCAGCGGGGTTTAGCTTTGCTTGAAAGCAGGAAATCCTGCTTTCTAGCAAAGCTAAATTGTGTGCCACAGCTGGTCCCCCCTCACTTCTACTTACCTTCCCAAGCTTCCTTTTGGTGCGCACTGCGCATGCACACACAGCATGCGTTTGGCGCACAGTGCACATGCGCAGCCAGTGAACCAGTAGCAAACCGTTTTGGATTTCACCGCTGGTGCAAAGGGACTTGAGACTGATGATGCATTTGACCCCTTCCACAGGCTCAGCC